AAATTATTTAACCTATTTTCTTATTTATCCCTGCATAAATGGTGTCAATAAAGGTGGCCTGTCTCACAGGAGTACATTTTACTGACATTTCCTACCTATGGTGCGTCTTAGGATGGCTTATGGTCTCTTCTGCATTGAGAATTGCATATCAAATCGAGCAACCGAATTTCGGACTGGTCAGGCGTTTGAAAACTTGGAAATTTTGTGAAATATATCATAACAGACATCACCTCTGTATTTCAGGAAATCATGCTTATTATTTTCTATCTTTTACCTATGACTAATGCACTATGGGATTTCTCCGTTAAGAACCTGCCACCGGCTATTATTTGTACGAGGTTTTATTCTTTATTTTTAAAAAATAAGTTCCATGATGAGTAAGGTTAATTTGAATACTTTGTCTTTTATACAGCAATAATAATGTTCATCGATTTGATTTTTCTTGTGACGAGCAAAAATGAAGAATGAAGAAAAATTTTAACGAGCTTGTAATTTTATTTTATTTAAAAGAAATAGTTTGAATATTATCTTGACGTGGCATCTTAACATATTGATCGACGCATCAAATATTTTTTCCAAGTTGACTTATTCGAACATGATTTTTTTGAAGATTTGAAGATTCTGATTAATTGCATGGATAATTTCATATTTAGCAAGATTTCGAATATAACAATTATTGTAAAGCCATTTAACAATGCGTGAATAAAAATTTTTCCGTTTATCAATTCTGATCCTGAGAAAAAACCATTTCCAAATGTTAAGTAAAGAAATATATTTTCATCGACACAGTTTTTAAATATTTTTATTGATAAAAAATTACTTATCTTGAAAATATATACAGTTGTAATTAGTGTATTTTTCAAAATATCCGTAATCATTTTATTAAAAATAGTTGATAGAGTTTATTCAAAAAACATAAAAGTATTAATAGTGTAGTAAAATATTTCAATTTGTATGCCTTCACTTTTTTATTATATTTTCATGGAAACTTCAGTATTTAAAAAATTCCTTGATAAAATTCTTAGTTAACGAGTAAAATATGAGTGACCAATGATTAAAACTTCATGAAAATTACATATCATTATACTAAATAGTTTTCGAAGAAGAAAAAATTATTTTTTTTAAATTAGTCTAATTAGCTTGTTTAATATCTAAAATGATTTGGTTGGACAGTTCCACTTACAATTTGAAACATACTTTATTCACTAAAAGTTACAGAATTAATTTGTAAATAACGTGATGATATAACTATTTAAAAAAATATACATATTTAAAAATAAATTCAAATTAATAAGATGGCTCTTTACTTTGTAAAATTACTTGCCAAAAAAAACATTATAAAGTAACTCAATTCATAATACTTAAAAAGCCATTATTTTATTTGTAATTATGAGCATAAAAATAATTTCATGGGAAAATAATACAAAAAATTGATCAAGCCATTATATTTTAAAGTACTCCAACTTTTTTCTCTTAACATTTCAAATATATTCATAAATTTAATAATAAATTTCTATTGACTAGGGGTCATTTTAATTGTAAAACATTAATTTCAAGAGATTACAAAATATTAATTATCATTATCTAAGTTAAAAAGTTGCAAAGCTGTTACAAGTTCAATTGACTATTAAAGGTAATTAAATATCTAAAATTGCAATCTTTTTTAACCTAATCAAAAAGTATATAGAGTATATAGTGTCTAATTACATAAAATCTTAGCCGAAAAGAATAACGAATACTTGTTCCTTATGACAACACATCTAACAACAAAAGTATTGAATTCGTATTGATACTAACAATAATTAATGTCTCGTAATCTCACTCTGACAGGTTGTCATCATCGTTACCATCATTACCCACACAACATGACGTGTTACTGTTGAATTACTGTAAGTTTCATGAAATCTTTGAAAGCACCTTGAAACATACCTGAAATGTTTCGTTGCAATATTGTACAGAGAGACTCGTTCGAATGTATTAACGCAATTGTCGTTGTCGAATCCTCTACTATTGAGATGAAGTTTGTTGTAGATGTACGGGGCTTCAAAACTTACTTAAAAGTATTCGTATTCAAGAACACAGCTGTTTGTTTTTTGAAAAAAGATCCGTCAGTATTTCTTTGTAAACAACCCTACCCATGGTTAATGAGGACAAATCAGTATAAAAATCGGTAGTTAGCGAGAAACTTTTAGGACATGATGATTTACCACATGGTGACCTTGAAAAAAAAGTGAGAAAAACACCTTTTGCAGAAACTATTTTTGATAAAGATCTTGAAAAATAAATTTCAAATTGTTTCAAAAAGGTTGTCCAAATATCCAATCAAAAATTTGCTGATCACAATACACAATAAGTTTTTCTTCTCCCGTCATCGTAAAAATTATATTTATATATTTAATCATTTTTGTTTTTTTACAGAACGACTGTCGTTGGCATTGAAGACTTGAACGTTGTCCGTCACTCAAAAAACTTCCAGACGATAATTTTTTTAAATGCAGCAACCACAAGTATCCATCAAATCCAACATATGTTTTCAAAAACGCGCTGGCTATTAGTCGATGGATGCTCGCTCGCAAAAGAAGTGATGATACGTGATTTCTTCATATCAAAGTTTGAAAATATAAAAATAAAATTAACGAGTAGATTACTCTTTGTTTTTCTTATCTAGTATATATGTGGGATATGTGGGATTGGTATTGTCGAATGGTGTATGATGACAGAATTTTTTCGCATATAGGCGGAAGTTGAGTTTATTGAAATTCCAATCCATGCTCCTATGCTTTTCCGTCATCTTACGACTTTTTCAAAATCTCATTCGAACTCGTCAACCTCATACTACATCATAAGGAACACCTGGAGGATAAAACAGACTTCCAGTATATGGAAACATTCTGTGTTGTATACATGGAGCGAAGTACTTATAAACCACAATATTGTTATTAGTCCCAATTTGCTGCAAACATTCTTTCAACATCTGAAGGGCTACATAATTTTTTACGTCATCATGGGCAATTAAGTTATATTAACGGGCGAATATATCAAAATAATACTATAAATAATAAATTTGTATTGTCGGTGTGGAAATTCGTTAGCATGTGAAAAATCATTGGGTGTTTAGAGCGTTCTTAGTTTCATGACAAATGTTAGTGTGTCTGCATTTTGTCAGCATGTGGTTGGCGGATAAGATTCAATCTAATAAGATTTTGCAAAAGTCGAAAAATGACGGAAAAGCATGGGAGAGATAGCGAGGGCTTTTTTGACAAGGGCAAACAGCGTCAGTTTATAGATGTGAATATAATGTGATTTTTGACGAGTGAAACAGAGAATTTTTATCCGAATTTTTATCCGAGAATTTTTATCCGATATTTTGCAAAAGGTTCTCCAGTCCTTAATATGACAATGGAAATAGTTTAAATAGATAAGCAGTGCACTAGTTTTTTTGTATTTATGCAGACTTCTAAAAATCGCACATCATATTCTCCTATAAAATAACGTTTTGATGTGAAAAATTCCGATTTTCCCGCTATTTCGTATAACGAGAACAATGTGGCTCTCAAAGAAAACTAGTGGACTGCTATTCGAGTTAAACTATTTCCCTAACAGAAAATACTTGACAATCTTATAGAAGATATCGAATAAAAACTTTATAATTCACTTGCTAATAATCACACCTCATATTTTCATCCTCTACAAAATAACTTTTTGATATGATAAATACCGATTTTCCTGCCACTTCGTATAACGAGGAAAATGTAGCTCTCAAAAAAATCCATTGAACTGCTGATTAATTTAAACTATTTCTATTATCATAATAAAGACTTGGAAACCTTCTTCAAAACTACGGATATAATTTTTTTCCATCACTCGTCAAAAATCGCACATCATAATCTCATGCCCTATAAAATGAGATTCTGCTGTGAAAAATTCAGATTTTCCTTCTATTTCGTATAACGAAGAATATGTGTGTGTCAAAGAAAAAACTAGTGCTCTTTCTCTGTAATTCGCAAAAATCGCACATCATATTCGCGCGTCCTATAAAATGAAATTCTGTCGTGAAAAATTCCGACTTACCTACTATTTCGTATAACTATCATAATGTAGCTCTCAAAAGAACCCATTGCACTGCTGATCAATTTAAACTATTTCCATTGCCAGAGTAAAGACTTAAGTATCGTCTACCAAACTACGGATATAATTTTTCTCCATGACTCGCCAATATCGCACATGATATACTCATGCCCTATAAAATGAGATTCAGCCGTGAAAAATTCCGACCTTCCTACTATTTCGTATAACAAGGAAAACGTGGTTGTCATAAAGAAACTAGTACAATTTTTTTATAATTTGCAAAAATCGCACGTCGTATTGTCATGCCCTAGAAAATGATATTTGCCATGAAAAATTCTGACTTCTAACTTTTGGAAAAGATATTAAAACTAATTTGTCAAATATTCTTTATCATTCTTTACCATTGTATATACCTCAAATAACAATCGAAAAAACGTCCGAAGACGCAGTGAAATTTATTTTTAACGCGTTAATAATGCGACGTTTACACGTCATATTCACAGCCTCTCAAAAATAACGTTCTAACCATGAACCTAACCCTTATGACCTTCTGGAACCTGGATTTCATGTTGTAGAAGCATGATAACGCGGTAAAAAGATATTAAGATTGATTATTGATATTACCATGAATCAATATTTACGGAAAAAAGATTGTTGGATGAATTACATTGGTAGAAATATATAAAATGGTTTTAGCGTGTTTTGTCATGCTTCAGAGAGAATTTACTTTCTTTCATATCAATGCAATGAAGTTATATTTATGAGTATAAAGTAAATTGCTGCAAATGTTAGAACGAAAAAAATGAAGACCGAGATGTAAACAAACTTACAGTTTGTTGATGATAATGTGATGAACAGCCGTTGTGGTTAGTGATAATCTAATTGAATAGTGTCGTCGTGTGCATCATCGGTACAAATCCTTTATTGAAGTTATGGATTGGTGGAATACTATAAAAACAACTGTTACAGCTATCCAGAATATTCTTATTACCACTGCTATAGGTTTAGTGAAAGTCGGCGCGATTGCCTTGAAAAGTTGGGCATTTGTGGGAACTATCATAGCAGTTATGGCAATTGCTGCAGTCGTCAAAATCATAGATCAAGTCATAACACAAAAAGGTTTAGAACTTGACACACCTCAAGAAGATTTATCCAGTCTCGCCGAGACTGGGGAATTCAATTACCATGCTTCGATTCATCTGAATAATGTACATTTCTGCAGTGGTGCTTTCATCGGGACATATTTCATACTTACTGTGGCCCAATGCATGCATACTTTCGTTAATAATCAAAGAGAAATTTCAAAAATGAAAGTATACGTCGCCGTACACGAAGTTCCTTCTTATTTTCGTTGTAGTTATGCTATTGATAAAATAACACTTCACCCTGACTTCAACGCCAACCGACTCGACTACAACATGGCAATTTTAAAGGTATGGGTAATAGCTTCATTATTATTCAAATTTTATCACAGAGTTCCAATTTATCCAAGCGAAAATATTGTAAAACCGTCATATTTTATTTAATTATTATCCTATATTATTTTCATTGTAGTTGACAGAAAAAGTCACTGAACCCCAATATGTGCAACCTATTAAGTTACCATCCCAGAGAATGAAAATTGAGAATACTTTCGTGATTGTCAGCGGTTTTAAAAGTTTCGACACGCCAGAGGTGCGAACCGATTTGACAAAAAGTAATATGACAGTCATTCCGCAGAATATTTGTCGCAGCCATTTTATCAAGAAAATTTCAACTAGTAAAAAATTCTGTGCAATTCCGTCTTATCGATGGAAGCCCTGTCAAGTAAGTTGTACGAGACACGCACACCTACATTACTGATAGCATAAACTATTTTTATTTCCGCAGACTTCCAGAGGGGGCCCAGCAATTAATACTGATAAAATTCTCATCGGATTATTTATAATGGAGAATCCCATTGGTTGCGCTAAAGAACTTCCAAGTATTTTTCTTGATGTCTCATTTTTCATAGATTTCATCAAAGCTGAAACTAACTAATATGATGAGAATGACGGAAATGACATCATAATTTTTAACTAAATTTTAGCAATTCTTTCTTCTTGTGTTTAATGAAAAATTAAATATATATAATATATATTAATCTCTCGATAGTATAGGGAACACTTAATAAATGATTCTTGGTTCATGAATTTTTTGTCTTCGAGCAAAATTACGGCTCACCTATTTTGTGATGCAATGATTGTACTCAACATTTTTCTCCCAAAAAAAATTATTGAATTTCAACTTGAATTTTCAATTTATTATAATAATAAACAAACTATCTTTCCTTTGTGACAAACATTTATTACAAACGAACTTCTTTAAGCTTGCCAAGACCTATGCGTTAAATGCGGCTATGCGTGGAGACCAACTTTAAAGATATCAGCAAGTATTTAACGTATCAATGACTAATAAATGAACAAAGTTATCTATTATTATATCTATTATTATATAATATATTAAAATACATCATTTCTAATTTATAAAATTAATTAAAATTGGCTTGCGAGATAGCGGTGATACATATACTGGCAAAATTCATAAAAACGCTGGTATTCCACTCGTTGGTTTTATATTAACGAAAGATCAGTTGTTGAATTTAGTAAATTCATTGTTATATAAAGTGTATATGTTGAATCAATATTTATTGTATGTGTCATACACGATATTTTTGTGGAAAAAATTTATATAATTTTAAGTAAGCTTTTTGTTGTTTGATAATTTAACTTCGTCTGCTTATAATTTTTTACGGCAATTTTTCTATAAAAAACGACTTATATCATAGAATATAGATAAAACTCTGCGTACTGAATAATTTTTCAAACGCAATTTTTGACTTTACATGCGCCGTTTTGCACAAAAATTCATTTAAAGTTTTTTGCGAAAAAGGGGAGCATTGTCATGCATAAATACGCTCGTTGTTCCGGTAGTCGGGAAGTTTTCGTTTAATCTTAGAAAAAATTAATTGCAACTTTTCTTAGAGTTCAAACTTAAATTTTACTACGTATAAAATGAAAAACGTTATGCTAAAGCAGCTCAACGCTCTTGCGGAACTCCGTCTGCTACCATGCCATCTAATGCTATATACTATACACGACGTAGCACGCGGGTATAGCGGCTATTAATTCGTGTCGCGTTGTTTTATGGGATTATACTTAATTCTTTTAATATATGCTTAATAAATATTAATGAGCGACATGCAACCACATGGACAAATTCGAATTTATTGTAAAAATACAATGTAACACTTAACCGCATGCGCACGCCTGCTTAAACGTGCGGCGCGCGCTTACAATTTCCCAAAAAAAAACTATGTCTATTGGAAAGTAATAGTAGGCAGAGAACTTCAAAGATGATTAGAAAATAATGAAATTTTGAATAGGTATCGCTCGATCTTATTAGTTGATAAAGTTTTAAATCACGTTAACATAATCGTAATTCAGTCATGGTCCTGATATCTAATATGGTCCTTTTGAATAGAATAGTAATAGTTTTTATTTTATTGTTATATCCTTCTTACTATAAAATTTCGTTTCTGTGCGCGTGTCGGCAGCTTCTGTGCTTAATTATATTTATATCTCTAGTGCAATATGTATGATAAATCGTCAGCGGGTCAATACTAAAACAACTGTTCTGTATCACACGGTCGTATATTTACTCGGAAAGTATATTTACTTTCAAAGTATAATGAGTTAACACATGGTACACTACACTTAGCGTAAAATTCGCGACACAAAATAATTTTTGATTTTATAAAAACGCAGCTGTTCGCTTCGACAGAAGGCACAAGAGTGACTCCTCGCCGGCTCTCTCTCTCTCTCTCTCTCTCTCTCTCTCACGTTGCAACGGTCCCGTGCTTACATTTTCTTTCTCTTTCTAACTCACGCTGTTTAATTGCTGTATTTAGTTTCAACTAGCCGGTGACTGGCTGAACACGTTCGCTGACACCGGCATTCTTATCGCCGTTGAAAGTGCACTAGTTTTTTCTTTGACACCGACATATTCCTCGTTATACGAAATAGTAGGTATGTCGTAATTTTTCACGAATCTTATTTTATAGGGCACGGCAGAATCTTATTTCATTGGGGATGAGAATATGATGTGCGATTTTTGCGAGTAATGAAGCAATATTTTATCCGTAATTGTGTAGAAGTCTTTCAAGTCCTTACTATGACAAAGGAAATAGTTTAAATAAATCAGCAGTGCACATGTCTTGAGACTAATTCCTCCTATTACTGCGATAATCTAATTTTCAAAAAAGTTAAACCGGCATTAAATCAAATTGATTTCACTAAATGGCGGAAACTTTGTAGAATGTTCTCAAGTCCTTACGATCTATTTAAACTATTTCCTTTATCATAGTAAGGACTTGAGAACCTTCTACAAAATTACGAATAAAATTTTTCTCTATAACTCGCAAAAATCACTCGTCATGAAACCACGCTATATCTCAACGCTCGATCTCAGTAGCGCGTATCATCAAATTCCACTCAAGATCGAATCTCGACCAATCACGGCCTTTACCGTACCCGGACTGGAGCATTTCCAGTTCGTACGAATGCCGTTCGGTCTCTCGTATGTCAGCGCCACCTTCCAACGGTTGATCGACAGCGTGATCGGCCCCGAGCTAGGCTAATTCGCCTTCGCCTATTTGGATGATATAATAGTAGTATCGTCCAGATTCGAGGATCACCTGCGACACCTAAAAACCGTATTGGACAGGTTGTGCAGGGCTGGCCTCTCGATTAATCGAGAAAAGAGCGTCTTCTGCAAGCCTGAGGCCAAGTACCTGGGCTTGTTGATCAACCGCGAAGGTATCAGGCCAGAAAAGGTACGCTCTATCGTGGAGTACCCACGGCCAGGAAACGTGGGACAGCTGCGCACGTTCCTGGGGGTTGCTTCATGGTACCGCCGGACCTTGAGTGATTTCGCCACACACGCTCAACCGTTAACGAGGTTGACGGGGAAAAAGAGCGAATATATGTGGGGAGAGGACCAAGAACAAGCCTTCGCTAAACTTAAGGCACTCATGATATCCGCACTATGCCTCGGATTACCGGAACCTGAAGGGCAGTACGTGCTGGAGACAGATGCTAGCGCTACGGGAATCGGTGCCGTCCTGATACAAAGAGTTGGAGACAGGGACCGCATTATCGAGTACACTAGCAGAGTCCTTAACCCGGTGGAGCAAAACTACTCAGCCACGGAGCGCGAGTGCTTGGTGGTCGTGTGGGCCATCCAAAAATTCCGCCCATACATAGAGGCGTACCGGTTCAGGGTGGTAACGGACCACAATAGTCTAAAATGGCTATATAACCTGAAAAACTCGATTGGACGTATAGCCCGATGGGCCTTGCAACTCCAAGGCCATACCTTCGAGATCGAATATCGAAGGGGGCAGACAATGTGTTGCCCGACGCATTATCGCGCGCTTTTGAGCCCACGAAGGCTGGGGTTGGCACAATGGACCAACCGAAGTCAAGGGACGGCGCCTGGTACGCGGAACAATTCCGGCGCGTCGAGAGCCACCTAGAAGATTACCCGGATTGGAAGGTAGTTGGCCGGGTGATGTATCACCTAAAGCCAAACTGCGACTACCTGGGAGAAGATGGGTACGAGGACGTATGGAAACTCGTCGTGCCTCCGGAGGAACGCAAGGCGGTATTGTTCGAGAGCCACGACCTTGAGACTGCGGGACACTTGGGACGCGAGAAGACCTTCGCCCGCATGCCCAGTCCTATTATTCGCCAGGGATGTACGCGGACGTTAAGGGGTACGTTCAAAAGTGCCAGGTCTGTCAACAGTGCAAGGTTGAGCAGCGACTGCCGCGCGGGCTCATGCAGAATCGAACGTTGTCCACGCCTTGGCAAGTGGTCGCGGGCGACATCGCCGGACCCTTTCCGAAGAGCCCTCGAGGGCACGAGTACGTACTGGTATTCATCGATGTATTCACACGACGGGTCGAGTGTATACCCATACGTAGTGCCCACGGCAAGACGATCGCGAAGGAACTCCGGGAGCGGGTAATCCTGCGCTTCGGTACGCCGAAGATCTTCTTGTCCGATAATGGCACCGAGTTCCGCAACTAGCTGGTAGACGGGTATCTGAGAGATCAGGGGATAAAACGGACCTTTACCCCAACCTACACCCCGCAGGCTAACCCTACGGAAAGAGTTAACTGTACCTTGAAAACGATGATAACCTCATACTTGCGAGGGAATCACAGGGAATGGGACCGAGCGCTGCCCGAACTGATGTTCGCGTTGAACACGGCCGTCCATAGTTCCACGGGAATCAGCCCTGCCATGCTCAACTGCGGCAGGCAACCAGAAGCCTCAAATACTCTTCGAAGACGAATGGACGAGCTTGTCGCGCGAGAGGAGAGTTTGCTTCGAATCGGGCAATGGAATGAGCATATGCAGAATAACCGTTCCGCTATTCAGCAAGCTCACGAGAGCGCTTCGGATGAGTCCCTGAGACAGGCAAGGTATTATAACGCCAAGCGCAGGGCCCACAGGTTTAAGGAAGGGGACTGGGTGTGGAAGAAGAATCGCGTGCTGTCCTGCGCGGCGCAGGGCATTTCCGCCAAGTTAGCACCCAAGTTCATAGGTCCCTTTATCGTCACGAAGGTACTCGGTGCCAACTCGTATCGCCTTGTCAATCAACAGGAAAAGGTCACGGAGTTAATACACGCCAAAGACCTCAAACCCTACTATGGGCAAGATGACGATTTACCGGAAGATGGGACCCGACGACGATATGATGACGAGATCTCTACCACCGAGGGAGCTAAGGCGACGAGCGTCCCGCCTAATGCGAGCGATAAGACGATACGCGGAAACGGATACGCCGACACTACAGGTGACACACTCCGGAATGACAACGCGACAACTTCGAACCCACCTCGATACGTCCCTTCCGATCCCTTCGTCAAGATCCTAATAACCACCTCATCAACTAACGCGGAGAAGCGCCCGCGAGAGAGACCTCGCGAGTAT